CCCTATCCCAGCCATATTATTCACATATCGAGTCCCAACAGCAACAATGTAGGGATGAGCACGAAATACTGTAAATTAAATGCTGAATGGCGGTTCATGCAGGGAAAGAACGTATCAATATTTGCATATTCATTCAAAAACATGAAAATTCTTAATGGAGTACCCTCATTTTTTATTGAATTCCTAAAAAACAATATTTATAATGAATTTTAATAATTTTTTTGAATTTTTTTTAAACTTTATTCTGACCGATTCACCCGATTCCTGATTCGGATCACCGATTCGTCGATCCGGATCGGTTTTTTGGAAGCCCGATTGGAGTCACCGATCCGTTTTTTAAACAATTGGTTGAAATAAATAAAATGAAAGAAAAACAGGAAGGGCCGAGCCAGCGCCATCATGGCCGACGGCCCAGCACAGCATCAGGTCACATTAGCCCTACACAACCTGGCTGTCCAGCAACATTTTCTCGTGCCAAGCCCGAACATTTCGTAGCCCGCCGATCAAGGTAGGAACCCGGACCATTGTTGGCCCTTTTAACGTGGCCCAAAGAAAATGAAACACAACACAAAAATTATTGCAGAGAGAAATTCTCTCAGGTAAGTGATAAGTAAGAGAGAGACTCCGCACTGAAAATGTAAGAATCGGACACAGCCAGTCAGACCTGGGTCACCACCCATTAAAAGTGTCATGCTTTAATCATGAACCCGTGCTTAAATCCACTTGTATTTACTAAAGAAAGAAAAAAGTTTTCCAGTAAAACATGTCAGGGGTTTGCAGCCATGGCCATGGGATACAAACAACACAAGTTAACAAACAGAAGTTCAGAAAAAGAGAATGGAAGGACTACAAACAAAACAAGAAACTGATTTCACAGAAAGAGAGGCATCAAAGTTCTTGGATTTGGGTTCAAACTCATGGCCTATATGGATCAACTAAACTGCATCTTGAGTTTGTGACCTCAACTACAAAATTCTGCAATTCAAATGCTGCTTCAACCTTAATACTGTGTTTCCTATTACAGGCACTTCTTGCTGTTATGAGAAGCAATTTGTTGTTACTGCTTACATTGCTTGACATTGTAGGTTTATCTGAAACTCAATTGATCATGCAAACTTGAGTCCCATGGTTGTTTGTTAGGAGTAAGTAGGTTTTGGGCTTGAATCGAACTTACTCAGAGACGCCCTTGATGAGCTACGGCTCCGGGGCCACTCCTGCCCCGAGTGCCTTGAGCCACTCAAAAGTGCGCCTGCGCGCCTGCTCCTCCCCTGCCTCCTTTGATCCCACCCACGGTGCCTCGCGCGCCCGCCTCTCGGTCATCTCCGCAATGGCAGTTGCAGAACACTTACATGACAACCCACCCAACATACACCACCCCATTTCCCTTTTCCTCTCCTTGTTTTCCTCCTTCTTCCCTTTCTCTCTTTTCTTTTTCGGCTCCTCTCCTCCTTTTTCTTGTCGCCGCCTCAAATCAAGCAAATTGATCTCTGCCGGCTGCCTCACCAAGCCCAGCCGAAAAACCCCCCACCACACCGCCGGCCGGTGCTCAGGGCCCACCTTGCAAGGCACTTTGCCCCGCAGACCCGGTTTGGGGCTCGATTGTGTGTGCCATGGACAAACACTCTCTTCCTCAAAGTGTCGGCTGCTGCTTCCAGAGGAACCCTGGGACCGTGTCGCGGTGAAGCATGTACTCGTGCCCGACGAGTCAGAGCGCAAGCTCAGGTTCCGACTGCAGTCTTCTGAGCTAACCGAGGGCCTCAATGGAAGGATTTGGCCACAAAAAAACACGTCTTCAGCTAAGCAAAGGGACGATGCTCTTGAATCGAACTCGAAATCAGAGAAGTCTGAGACATCCTTTGTGGGTTCGTTGTTGTTTGTGTTTTTGATTTGGCATTGTTGAGAAAGTGGGAGATCAGAGAGAGAGAGAGCTTCATCTCCTGATTCAGGGGAGTCTTCCTCCTCCATTGAATTTGAATTGATGAGACCAAAGAGAACCTAAGGTGGTAAACCTTTTAAAGAAACATATGGAAGTTTGTAAGGAGCAAAAGGAAAAAAAGAAAGAGTAAAAGGCTGCAGGCTTGCACATTAGTTTTGGAAGTGGGAGCAGTCGTGACCGGCCGGCCCTTGACCCCTCTCTTTCCGGCCCGCTACTATGGACACTTTCTCTCTCTTCCTCCACTTGCCTTTAATTTGAACAGCGAAAGTCAGGCCCTTCCTTTTTTGTTTTTTAATACTTGTATCAAGTTGGAAGGGTGTGGCCTTTTTTATTGAGGAAGGCCATCGATATTTGGGGAGGGATGATAATGGACACTGCTTAGGCCCTAGCCCTAGCTCGGCAGTGGCCCTAGCCCAGTCCTAGTCCTATCAGGCCCTGGCAGTATCGAGCCGAGTGGCCGGGCCAGGCCAAACAAACATAAAATATAATAAAAGTTAAGAAGAGGACTGTCCATAGCCCAGACCTGGCTGTGACCTACCCTTGTGCCAAGGTTACTCTGTTTTGGCCCGGCGCTTAGGACACATTTTGTTGTCCGGGCCCTTATTTTTTAGAATTGGGCTAACCAGGCTAGGTCGGCCCTCCTGGTCCTATTGCTACCCTCTGACCCCACCAAAGAGGCTTTGTCCCATGCCAGGCCCTAGCTCTATCAGGGCCGGGCGGTATCAAGTCGAGCGGCTGGGCCAAGCCAAATAAATACAAAATATAACAAAAGCTAAGAAGAAGAGGACCATCCATCGCCAGGCCCAGCCTGGGCTGACCCTTGTGTCATGGCTGCTCTACCCTAGCCTGGCCCTTAAGCCCCATTTTGTTACCCAGGCCCTTACTTTTTGGAATTGGGGGAATTGGCGTAACCGGGCTACGCCGGTCCTCTTGGTCCATTGATACCCCTACATTTGGGTATTGGAAATATTCAAGTCTGATTTTATAGGGGTGGTGGTTGGAGTTGACTGAAATGGCCATTAGCTTTTTTGGATGATACCCTACTTTCAAATTTTTATGGGGCCGTGGCATTGTTTGGGCTTAAAGGTGATGGAGGGGTGCTGTTTTTGGATATTTGTGTTGTGGAAGGACAAATTTTAACCACCAACGCATGCCCACTTTACCATATTTGAGGATGAGCATGAGGGAATAAAAGGTTTGTCGGTAGAGAGAAAGCCAAGGGGACCTAATCCCTGCACTTGTCCAAGTTCCTTTGAAAATGGGTCCTGGTTCAACCCAGAACTGATAGGGTCGATCCAGCCCTAGAGGTTAATTGTGACTTGGAGATTAAGTATGGTTTGGATAGAATTGGCTGATGGATTGGTAAGGGGAGAAATTCCTCGATGCTTTCTTTTTGTTGAAGGGCCATTTATTTGACGAAATAGATTGTGGATAGAAATGTGAGATGGGAGATTGGTAGAAGGGGACAATATTTTTTTTTTTGGTACAATAAGTGGATTGGAGATAGTCCCCTAAACTTTCTTTATCTAAATCATTTGACACGGTTATAGATTTCAATGCTAAGGTGTCTGACTTATTCTCAAGAGTTGATGGTCAAGTGGTTTGGGATGTCCAATTGCTTTATAACAAGGTCATGGAAATAGTTGCTAATCAATTCTCAGAATTGCCGACTCTGCTGGAAAATGTGTACATTTCAAATTCTGAGAAGGATGAAATTGTGTCGGAATTAGAAAATGTGGGGATGTTTAATGTTAAATCAGCTTATAGCCTGCTTTTTCATGATCGTTGGAGATGGTCTGAAAAGATTATTTCAAGTACATGGAAGTAGCCAGTCCCACACAAGGTTCAAGTTTTTGTGTGGTTAATGATTCAGGAAATTTTTTTGACAATAGACAATCTTATTAAAAGGGGAATGATTTTGCCAAATGTTTGCTTAATATGTAAAAGCGATGGGGAAATGGGTCATCATCTTTTCTTCTATTGTGCTTTTGCTAGAATTTGGGGATGGTGTTTCAATCGATTGGGAGTTGCGTGGATTATGCCTTCCTTCTTGCTTTGCATTCTTTCACATTTTTCAATGGTTCGGTGGTTTGAGGGTGGTATGAAGTTTTGGATGATCCTTAGAGGGGTAGTACTGTAGGAGTCGGGAGTTGTGGACGGAGAAGAATCGAAGGGCTTTTGAGGGGGTAATGCTTCCATTCGACAGGGTTTTGTTCAACATGACCATGTGGAGCTGGCTATCAATTGTAAAAGAAGGTTGGGGAGTTTCTGAATTTGATGTTTTGACTAATGTCCCGAATCTATTCAAGATGGGAAAGGTTAAATGCAGGCCGAAAGTGAAGTGGACCCTCTCAATGCATAATTGTTTTAAGTTGAATTTCGATAGTAACTCCATGGGAAATCAGGGTAGGATGGAAGTGGGTGGAGTAGTACGAGACTGGAACGAGAAGGTAGTTTTGTGTTATGCAAGACCGTGTCTACAAATGAAGCTGAAATGGCATCACTACTGCAAGGCTTGAAGATTTTGAGGGATAAACATTTGGACGTAGTCTTCACGATAGAAGGCCCCCCCCCCTGAATACTATTTTGTAATGTAAGAAAGAGCATAGAGTACTATAGCAGCTGTGGCAATGCTGCTTAGAAATTTTGGTCCTCGCAGCAGTCTTGAGGGTCTCCTTTTACCATGTCTATTGGGAAGCCAATGGTGTTGTAGACGAGTTTGCAAAAAAGGGGGCCACTCTTTCTGAGTGATGATGCTTTGAGTATGCTGTAGCTTTTTTTTGTAACCGCTTGATTTATTAATAAAAAAATTTGAATATTGTCAAAAAAAAAAAAAAAAATTAATTGTGACTACCTTGCATCAAAGGTAAATGGTCTCATTGTATATTTTTCTTTTATTTAGAGAGTTTGTGTGTGTACAAGTATAAAAATGGGCTTCGTTGATTTAGATTACGTGAATCAGGAATGATCGTCTAAGAATCAAGAATGCTCTTCTAATGATTTAGAGTTGGATTCTGATTATCAAAATGGAACTTTACATATGGTTCCTATTCTTTTTTGATAATAGAAAATGGATAGGAATTACAGAAATATCCTTTTTCTTGTAATTTTTTTATAGGACATACCCCCGACCCAAACCTTGAAGGGTCGAAAATATTTAAATTCGACACCTGAGAGGTCCCCTTTTATGTTAGAATACTTTTCCACAAAATATCCCCAGCCCAATCCCTGAAGGGTCGAAAATATTTAAATTCGACACATCAAGAGTTGAAATAATTTTAAAAAGAAGCAGTCCGACTTATTATTTTTACTATGATAAGTTGTCGACCCTTCAAGGATCAAACCAAGTTCAACCTTTGAAGTGTCGAACTGCCAAAGAAACCTTGTCACTTGAGTTCTTTGTCATTTTTCAGAAACAAATTGTGTGATGACAACATCGTTGAGGTATTTATGGAGAACTTTTACATCCTCAATGTCGTTGTTCCTCTAAAGTTCAACTTGAGAATGATTTCTCTACGTGGATTTTCTAACGGATCAAACACATCACGTGGATTTTCTAACGGATCAAACACATCAAGATCATACTGATCATGCTCCATCACTGTCTTGATGACCGTAACTCCGTTGCACGCAATATGAGTGGTCAATGATCAGTTGGGTTAGCCAATTAACCTATATCGCTCCACTAAGAATAATTAAAAAAATCGAGATGAATAGCTCAAAAAGAGGGGTAAATTATTTGTGAATGTATGTATTTTATGTAAATAAAACGCGAAAAATAGTAATCTATCTTTTCTTACATTGCTCTAATGCAAATCCTTTATGGGAACGGGTCTCGAGCATATCTAACTGGCAATGGGTCAAGTATGAGACTATCAACCAATTTTTAGTACTCATTCTTGATCCACCCTTCCCCAAACTTGGGACTCACCTTTAGGGCATTTTAATACCAAGTCTACTCTGGACTTTATGGAAGGAGAGGAATGCTAGAGTGTTTGCGGGACACTTCGGAACATCAACAGATATTCACAGAGAGGTCATGAGGCTGGTAATTTACTGGCCGCAGGCCTCTTTAATCTTGAAGAGTTATAAAGAGTTATTTCTCACCAATTTTGATGATCTCCTCAATATACAACCCATTAGGACACTCAAACAAGCGGATTGGCTACTACCTCCTGAAGGCTGGCTGAAATTGAATTTTGATGGGAGCTTAAGTTCAAAATACAAAAGGCTGATTATGGAGGCATCTTGAGGTACTCATAAAGGAATGTCATATCAATGAGGCAGAACTGAGGGCAGCGTAACTCCTGTCATATCAACGAGGCAGAACTGAGGGCAGCTAAAGAAGGTGTTTTAAAGCTTCAAGATGAACATGTATGCATCATCATAGTAAGTCTCTGCGAATGTCATTAAGTGATGTGTTAGCCCTCATCTCGTCCCATGGCAATTGACCCCCATCATGGATGAATTAATGCTAAACCTTCAAGCCAAAGAAGTTATCTTCAAACACATCAAGGAGAAGAATGGAGAAGCTGATAGCCTAGCTAAAATGGCTACAGTCTAGTCTATGTTGCCACACATTTTCACCTCGTTTCTTCTCCTACATGTCATTCTTGTTCTTCCTCTTCCTTCTTTGCCCTTTACTTTTGTTGCCTATCCACTCTTTCTCACTCTTTCTTTCATCTCTGTTTCTCTTCTGTTGTGTATCTCTTTTGTAATCTTTCATTTATTCGATGAAGTCACTATTAAAAAAAAAAAAAAGAGAGGAAGGAAGGAAGGGGAAGAAAGTTAATCAAGACGAATACGTACGACAATTTTATGACCTAATCTTTACCACTTAAGTATTGTCAAGATATGTTGCTCTTTTTGGGCACATTTGGTTTATAAGAAAATGATTTCTTAAAAATTATTTTCTTAGAAAATAACTAATTTCTCATATTTGGTTTGTGACACGATTTGAAAATATTTTTACCTTTTGAAATTAATTTCCATAAAAAGTATCCAAAATCTACAAAATTGAAATCTAAACCACATAGGTATGATTCCAATTTCTTTTAAAATAATCGGGGGTGGGGGTGTAAGTAGGGCTACCATAGGGTCAGGGCGGCCTGAGGACCGGCAAAGCCTGAAAATACTTTGGCCCAGCCTGAAAGTTGTTCCAAAAAAGGCCCAGCCCATCCTGCCCTGAAAAGAAAATCTATAATGCCTGAGCCTGGCTTAGTCCAATAAGAAGCCTTTTTCTTTTTATTTATTTATTTATTTTTCTCACTCTTCAAACTTTTATTGTTTGTAGTAAGCCAAAAATAAAACATATGCTGAAACATTTTTTACAAAATTTAAAATAATATTGAGTT